AATTGAACAAAACACCAAAACTTTGTTTTAGAAATAAAGACTCTGTCCTGCATCTCCACACTCTTAAACCAAATAAACCAAAGTTTATTCTCAGGGGGTCAGAGTCACTGCACAATCAGAACAAAAAATACTAAGAAATTTAGTGTCACTTTTAGAGTACTTCTGTGTACATGAACTTATTTTTCCTTTTGATGTTTTGGTTTTAAGAGACATTGATCTCCATAACAAGAAGGGCATTTTAAAAATAGATGTTTCAAAAAGCAGATTATATATCAAATTTTAATCTCTTCTGGAGAAAAATATCTTTACATGAAGCTTGGGTGCTTTTAGAAATACTGATAAACCATAAAATGTCATAACAGCACAATAAAATCAAAGGAAAACTGTGTCATTGTGTTACAGCTAATAAAGTGTTTAATGATAAGAATTTTTACAATATAAGGAGCATTTCGGAGACTAAGAATGAATTTTTTCTTAAAAAGGAAATCTGTTCTAAATTTTTATTAGTTTGCTAGAAGAGCTGGCCACATTATACTGCTACTCTGAGGCTGGTGATCCACCTACCAAAAATTATGCACACAAACACATAAAGAATATATGCGTGCAAACGTAAGTGCCTATGACATTATACTTCTGAAAAGCATCTTAGTCAACAAAACTATATATACTAATATCAAGATACCATAAAGTAGGGATTGGAAGAAAAAAATATGAATTGCACTAAGTATAAATTTCAAATACAGTGGAATGTCCCAGAAAAAATGTCCCAAACACATTAATTCACATAACAAGCTTGCTCCTTTAGGAAACCGTTCTCCTGCATCACCGTCTACCGTTGTCTGGGATCCTTTGCTCTGACAGCCTGAGCGACTAAGGAAGATTCTCCCATGAAAGTTTTGAACCCGTTTGAAATAAAATGCTTTTGTGCTTACATTTTCCTATGGAGCTTCCTGGACTTGACCAAAACTATTTCCATGCTGAGGGGCACATTTCTCCTGGCCTGGTCTTATCTCCACCTGTGTTGAAAAGATTTTCAAGGAGCACTGAGTCTTCTGTCTCTACACCACCCCAAAGGGTCTCCCACAGGCTTGCAGGAGCAGTAGGGGGGTTGGATTTACAGAGCTGAACTGAACAGGGCATACGTAAAATAGAAAAGACTTTAAAGTCTGGGTGAAAACTAAATAAACAACCTTGCCTTATCACAAATCCACGACTAGTAAGGAATTTCGCGTGTGCATGTGGGCCAGTACCTGTATGTATGCAGACACATCTTTTAGTGGATTAAAAAGTCATCTCTGAACTGATTAAGGCAATTCCAAAAGGGGACTCCTTGTTTTTCTCTGTGTTCCATAGTGTGAGACTATTATGTTAGGTTCTCAGACTAGAAACCTCAAAGGTCTGCTTTGACTGGACTCCTTCCCCCTCTCTCCTTCTCCACTCATCCTGCCCTACAGATCTATAGTCAACACATCCCTCAGGCCCATCCCCATTTCTCATCAATTTCCAATTTCATCTTTGGGACAGCCACCAGACTAGTCCCTGCTTATAACTGTTCACCTTTCCACACCATCATCACACTGCTAGAGCTACCCAGCTGGAGCACATATTTGTTCATAAAACAATCCCACTGCTTCAGTTTTTGATGGTTCTTTAAACAGCCAACATGCATTGCAAATTACTATTTGCCAGCCATTGCACAGAAAGCTCTCTAGGTATTATGCTCTCTTCATAATAACCCTGTGAGATGGGCACAATGATTGTTGACACTTACAAGTGAGAAAACAAACGCACACAGAGATTACATAGCTTGTTCAGGGTAGCCAGGATGGCAGGTGCCAGAGTCAGTCTTCATCTCAGATTATCTGATGCTCTTGATCATGCTATTAAAACTCTTTTCTCACTCTGGTTCCCAAATAACTCTTCACTCTTTTGTACAGGGAGCTAATAGACTGTGAACTTCTCTGATTCAGGGATTATATGTCGAGACTCAAAAGTCTTTAAGGTGAGGGCACAGTGACTTTCACAGCTGCCACCTCCCCACCAACTGAGTGTGTCTCTTATGACCACACATGGTAAAGGAAATATCTTGATCTCAAGCAAGGAAAAACATTAGCCCAATATATGCTGCAGAACTTTTTATAATACTCTGCCTCTTGTAGAATATGGAATTACGGTTCAAAAACATATTTTTTCAGACATCGATCACACACTCTAATCAGCTTTGCCTCATCATCCCTTTTCACAGCTCACTCATGAGAACCACTTGATGAAGACCAGGTGGAGACACAGCAGAGGGACACAGGTGCAGGGACAAAAAAATACTTGGATGGCAGGTCTGGTCATAGACTTGTTTCTATACAGGACCATCTGAGTTGTTATGGAACTTATGAGAAAAAATAGTCATACGAAAAAAGAAGGAAAAGTTAGATATCTCTAAAACTGCTCTGACATAGTCCACACACACACTGTTTAATAAATATTTTATTGTTATTCCAGGAAAAGCTTTTAAAGGAATACATATGCCAGCAATTATGGGGAAGGGATATCTCCTTCTCAGAGATAGTAGGAATGTCAGCTCTTGGCTGCTAAGGAGAGGGTGGACAGACTCACAATGGCTAGCTTGCTGCAGTATCCACATGCACCCTGAAAGGGACAGAGTTCTAGGCAGCGACTCTTCCTTTATTTGTTCACAGCAGAAAACACAAATATCTCCAGTGCAACATTCTGTGTGATTTGAATAAATCAGAGGCACTCGGCTGGCATGCACCACTGTTCTGTTTATGCCTAACAATTGTTCCACCCCCGGCACAGAAAGCCCTGCTGGAGGAAGGCCTGGCTTCTTGAAACTGATGGGTCAATTGTTAGGACTGGTGCTCAGCTCACAAATGCTGACCTCTGATATCCAGGGCCTAACCTCATTTCTGACCGAAAAAATTTAGGCAGAAATTCAAAATTGTTAAGTTGTTTAAATTAAATTGGAGAAATTGTAGTGCTACAGGTTCATTGGGCATCTTAGCATAATGTTAGAGGCATTTTGATTTTTTTGTGTTTTTTTTGGCGACTTACCAGTACTATCTTAAATATCTTCCTTATAGCCGATACAATATATTGAGGTGTGTGTGTGATGGACGTTTACTATAAGAGAGGATGCTACTTCACCAAAACACTGCCATGAAAAGTGACCATTCACAGTCAATTAGCCAGTATAAAAAAAAGGTGTTATTTCTGGAATAGTCAATATAATTTAAAATTCTTATTCCACTTAATTATATACATATCTATATTGGGAATTTCATGTAAAATTTGAAATGATATAGAAATTGCTGCTTTGAAGTTAGTAGACATGGTGCATAAATGTCCTCAAACTTGTCAGGAGCGGGGGTATTTTATTAATGGCATTGAGAAGCACAAACAAATAGAAGTACAAATTATGAAAACACTTACCCCCTTAAGCCACAGTCAGCCAGAATCATAACCCTCAGCATTTTTTAAGCCCACAAAAAGGCTTCTGCAGTAGTTTCTATCCTTTTCCTAAGTGGCCTTTAAATAAATATATGAGTCAGTGAAGGAAGGCATTTACTTGAATTAAAGTGATAATTCTGCCAGGACATCAGTGCAGTTAATTGTGGGTGGCAGAAGTTTTACATGAGGCTAAATTAGGGATTCTAGTTTATTTATTTATTTTTTACTCACTCTGCTGCTGTAATTAGAGAAGCTTTGGGTTGATCTTGATATTGTGCTTTGTCATGGATTATCATACCTACATGCTTTTATGACAAGCCCTGTGGCATATTTTTTTAATGACCAGAATAGGGGCATAATTCATATGCATCAGTCCTTGCCTCCTTCCTACTACTACTACTACACACACACACACACACACACACACACACTCTCCCAATACTCATTTTGTTACTTGACAACTCTGAAATTTTCATTCCTAATATTGTATCTTTATTTCAATGCTTCAATGTCAAATTCAAAATTATTTTAGTCACATAGTTTTATTCCTGGTAAGCTATTTCATAAAAGAACTCAAAATACTCTGCCTTCAAAATGTCCACTTGCCTACGCTACCTGCATCAGGATGGAAAGAGCTACATTTTATAAGTATGTTTTACTGAAAAATAGGTGGTCTTATTGCACAGAATGTGTTTTAAATGATGTATCCTTTTAGCAGAGCTGACCCTGTCGCAACGTGCTGTAGGGCACCACTGGGACACTCACGGCAGCTGAGCAACTGAACTCATGAGTTTCAAGAGACAGAAAATCTATCACACATTTCGGAGAATTCTACATTCAGTGTCAATAACACCACAACAAGGAGTGTATATTTTCTAAGAGTTCAGTAAAGCAGATAAAGAAAAGGTTCTACATGAGAAGTCACGCTAATCATTTCAGTGGCATTAGAATAGGGCAACAGTTATCTTTGTCTAGCTGTTAAGTAAAGATATTAAAAATAAATATGCTTTCAAAAGGTACATAGTTGGCCCCTAATATCTATACTCTGAAATTGAAATATCAGAAGGTAGTGAGATAGTGTCTAGATTTCATCCCTACACAAGATGAAGCATCAGACGCAGGAATTCGCCGGCTATGGCACTGTGTAACACTGAAAAAAATTTTTCTGCTCAGCTCATTAACTCCATCTACCTTTTGCCACCCCTTAGTAATAGGTTTTTCATTACCTACATGCATTTTTCATCCACTGTTCTGAGCACAAAAGAATGAACCAGTATACTTCCTGCAACCTAAATAAGAAACAGTGTAGTCTTCCAAAAGGTGAATGAGGAATTCTAATCTGCGTTAGCAATTCCTGAACTTCAAAGCAAACACTAATTGCTTTGGGGACCATGCAGCAGGGTTAACACGTTACATGTCTCCCCCGTCTTGAACATTAAAGTGCAGAACAAGACCAAGAAATAGGCAAACATTTTACAGCAAAGGATGCAGACTGTAAAGGAGCCTAGAGGCTATGAATTCCTGTTTGCTTTACCTACCGGCATTATCCATGTCTCAGGAGTGGCGAGGCGAGTTCTGTAGCCTGGCGGCGGACTCCCTGGCTCTTCTCCTGGCTAACGAAGCACCCTGCCCTTCTGCTGATTATCAGTCCTTGCTGGCACACAGAGCATACTTCATGCACTGTCTGCAGGAGACACAGCCAGGAAATTTATATCTCCAAGGATGACAAACAGCCATTAGCTCCATTACAGGCTGATTAAGAGAGACTGAGCCTATCAAGTGGATACTAGAATCCACTGGGGTTTTCACCTCTGTTCTAAGCAAAGGAGGGGGGAAAAAATCACTGCAATGTTGAGTGTACTGCACATTTCAGAAAAGAAGTGCACATGCTATGCAGACACAGTGCCTTTCCCAAAGATGCCAGAACAAACACGAGCAGCAGGAGGCACAAATAATTCAAAGGTAAAAAGGAATCTTCAAAAATGTAATAAATTATCCTTTCTTTGGGGTTGGTCTAAATGTGGTCCAGCCTTTATCACTGACATCACTGAATGACTGGGCAACTTTTCAATTTAGAATTTTAAAGTTTTTGTTGTTTGAGGGCTAGGCAAGGAAGAGCAGATAAAACATTTTCAGATAAAGGCTAATCTTTAGTATTTCTGCCCTAAGTAAATGCTAAGCAGCTGTGTATGGCCATTCCATTTAGGTTATGTTTTCATCATGACTAGTGTTCATTCCTATTTGTGGTCAGAATTTCTGCCCATCTAGCCTAACAGAGAAATTCAAAGATTTTTCAATAAATGTCATTAATAACACAAAAAATCATTGTCAAATGATGTCAGGGGACTCTACATTTCTGTAGGACTGTGTAAGGGCTTTAATGGTACAATCTATAGCCATCTAAGTAACAGACATCTGAGCATCAAGAAAAATGCATTTACTAACACAGGAAAACTGTGTTACTTTAATTTGACTATGCATAGACGCCTCTCAAAGACCCCTAAAACTGCTTGTGTTATCAAGGAGAAGGACAGGCAGAGTGCTGGAGAAATTATGTGCCATGCCCTGTGGCAGTTAAGACATTAGAATTTGAGAACAGCACAAATCTATGTCTTTGGAATTTTCTCAGATACAGTAAGAAAAATTTACAAAGGCCTCATTTGACCTATAATACCATGAATCCATAGTACACAAAGGGTCCACAGGCTTTTTATTTTGACAGAATTTTTAAAACCAGTTCTCAGTGTTATCACACACTCAGGGTTGTTAAATCTGAAAAGCAATTCATTTACTTAGCATCTCTTTATGCCACGGGAATTCCTGGTGACATCTCAACTGTAAGTTATTTATAATCTAGTCTGACATTTCATCTATGGTATCAGTTCTAGTACAGAAATATTTTCCTCAAAGAGAAGCTGAATTTTCTCAGTATTTGCCCTGAGATTTTTAGACCTATTATTTTATTGCACACAATTTTGAGGATATATCATTCTATTAATTTCAATAAAAATCTTCATATTTTTTTGAAAATGCTTGGATTTCCCTAAGACTGAAATCACTGTGGCTCCCTTACCTCATCTATTTGCCCTAATTAAGACTGCCAAGCACCTAGAGTGAGTGTCATCGGTAGAAAATCTAGGGCAAACTATTTTTTGGCAAAAGAAAAAGTTAAAAGGAAAAAATAAATGATAAAAAAGAGAATATAACATGAAGTCTGAGATTTTGGTAAGGTAGCCAAGAGTATCATCTATTGACAGTGAATATTGACTAATATAAATATGTTTATATTAGCTTCGCACACTTGCAACTCTTATTTTACTAATTCAGTCAATCCCCAAATTACAAATGGATTGTATTTTGAAAGTTTATTTTGGTCATCTGAAAAATGCTTTTTCTCATAAATCCTGATTGAATTCCAAGGACAGACTATTAAATATTGGTTAACTCATGATGTGATTTATGTAAGATCCACAATCTCTTATACACAATTCTAAAAGTCCACAAAGTTCTGAAAATCTTAATTTTTTTTAAGTTTGGGTCCAAAATGCATTTGAGTCACAACCTGACTTGAAGTGATATGAAGTTTTTAAAAATCTTTGCTTTTGTAACTTGGAGGGAATAACATGTTTTGCTACAGGAATATGAATGTTACAGGTTTTGGGAATCTGTTTGGATTTTCAAACCCTTCTGCAGATGATACATAATATACAGCATATGCATTACAGCACTTCCCTAAAATGTAAAAATTCTGAGTTCTGAAACACCCGTGACCTCAAAGGTTTCAGAAAGAGAGGCTATGGTCTATCAGTATTTTTTTGCAATTTAAAAGGGTAGAAAATAATCCTTTATTCTGTTTTGCTGTAAGACCCCCTTCCTTCTTTAGGAAACTCGCCCCCTCTTTCACCTGCGAAGCACCCAAACCTCTCTAACTACTGATGATGTCAGAGATAAACAAGGGATGTGCAACACAGAAATATGTCCAGATATAATGAAAGTAAAGTTGAGTGTCCATTAGGAGTCAGGCAATTTAAAAACTGCACAAATTGCCAAGGACACATCCGCTTTGTGACTCCCTACATCCAGCAGCAGCCCCAGCACTGCTCCTCCTCTGCCCCATCCAGCATCACAAGAAGGCAATGTAACAATGAAAAAGCACAATGAGTGGAACATTTCCCTCAACCTCCAGAGACAATCCACTCCCCTCCTTGATTTAATTCAGACCCACAACTAATGTGCTTTAGTCAGGGAATGTGAGAATATAAAATGCTCAGCAGGCCCCCTTCTAATTGTCCCAGAGATCCTGTATGGCATAGCAGCAGCATCAATAAACCTAATGTTCTATATCATGCTTTAAATACGACTTCAGTTTCCATTTTTATTAACCTTCCCACATGTACATTCCTCTGCTTTCTGAGAAGCAGATCGCTCTGTTTGGGGCCAGTGGTTAGTTTGGAGCATCTGCATCCAGAATCCTCAGTGCTAACCCACCTACAGAGAGGCTACAGCCTGCTGTATTTTTAAGGATTGCCTGAGGTGGGCCATGAGGTGTTATAATTCCAGGCATGGCCATCTGAGTTAGCAACTGATGGTGTCCAGCGCCTTCAATGTATCGCACAGCACCTGGTGATAACCTGGCCATCACCACATCTCTCCAAAAACTCCATTAGCCACTCTCTCTCTTGGAATTTCAAAGAAGGGAATGTCTTGGTTTCCTACAAAAGTGCTGCTTATTTCACATTATGTCTTAAGTTTCCTATGAGACGCTTTCATGTGTTAGGGACACAGGGAAGAGCTCATGGCAGTCATGCTCTGTCTTTCCTGAGTGGAATCCGAGCCCAGGTGGACCATGAGCAGTTCACATGGATGCTGTGGGAACAGAGGCATAGCAACTCCAGAATGAGAAGCTAAAAATGTCATGGTGCAGCCTTCAGGGAATCAGTGAGGATCCTTCTCTACAACGTAAGACTGCTCCTTGGAATGGAAAAATTCAGAGAATGAACTGGCCACGTAATTATATTGCCTGGCGTGGCCTATCTCTTGGACACCCAGATCAGCCTACCACACCTTTCTGACCTTTCCACTTTTTCATTCATCTAAAGAAATAAAGTAATGCAAGAATGTTGACTACAATTAGAAAGTAGTCACACTTGCTCCTGGTTCCTGCGGGGGCAGGTTCTACTGGAAATCTGCTTGAAAAGATTTCAGCCATTGCCTTTATAAGCACAGCTATCAGATACAGACAGTTTCAATGAGCAAAGTGCTTGGATTTATGACTCTCCTAAGTACTAAACCAAATCCCTGAACTATTTAATAAAAAAAAAGTTCACAGAAGGAAGTTTTTTAACAGTATTTCCAGGAAGGTCAGGGCAAAAAAAAAAAACATTAGACAGACATTTATCTAATGATCTATTATCTGAATTTTAGGGTAATACTTATTTGGCATGCATACGTTTTCAATTATTCCTAACCATTCTCCTTTTGAGATTTCTTTTCTGGTATAAGGTGGGAGGAGGGGGCCGTCTGAGTTCTGTGTTAATACTTATTCTCTTTCCTTATACATGGTCCTTAGATGATGCCTTCTAGTCACCCAGACTTGAAGAACATCTTAATACAGAGGCCATGAAACTTCTCAGCACATTCTGTACTTTGCTTGGTATCTAGACCTTCATGAAGCTATACCCATCAGACATGGTCTTCTGTCTCATTTGGGTTTTTGGTCAAGGTGGTTTGGTGAGTTCATGCTTAGACAGCACCTTTCTGCTGCAAACACACAGCTATGATAGACGAAATAGTAACCAGGTGAGCCAGGCTTGAAAAGCTGAATAACCACTTCCATGAATTAGAAAGGAGCCAAAATCTCAAAGCGGCAAGGAGGCTTCTGCAGGGCCCTGCTGTGCTCAAGGTGCCAAAGCAGAGGCTGCAGGCCAGTACTCCTGTGTGGCGCTGATGAGTTTAAAAGAGCTCCCTTTGAGGAAGGAAGGTCAGAATCAGGCTCTGCTGGAATGGGGCTCCCTAACTCAAGAAACAACGTTGAAAAAAAAAAAAAGGCTGCTGACTTATTTCCAGAAGCCAGGGCTTTATAAGCCTAGATGTGCAGGGGGAGGATAAATCCTCACAGCCAAGAATGAAATAAGCTTTGTGCTGGCTCCCTCAATACTATATAGGTACTATCCCCTCAAACTCAAGCAGATACCCCAAGATGTCACTGGAAGACCTGATTCTAGACTGAAGGACCAGAGGAATGTGGTGGAGGAAATCCAAACCGTAAAACTAGTGGAGAGGGAGAGAGGAAGAGGGACAACCAGACTACAGAAGCAGACAAGAAAACAAGACCTCCCATGCAAAATGAATGCAGACGCTGAATTCCCAACTTGTTTAAGATTGCTAATATTTAAAAAGCATGTAAATAAAATAACCAATAAAACATGATTTCAATCTTGATATCAACATCATGGAAGAATCTCATGAAGATGTTTTAATACCTATCAAGAGCTATGTGAAGGCATGACATCTATCAAAAACAAATAGGAAAATACAAAATAAAAGCGGTAGATTTGAGACAAGATTGGATGGATATACAAATAACTCATAGGAAATTGGAGAAGTCCATTTAGATCAACATAAGCTTCTCATTAGCAATCACTTATGCCAAAAGACAAGCCGCTGAAAGCAAATACCTACCAACTTTGAATTTCATACTAAGCTATACTACCATTTATGTGCAGGACATTGACATTTTCACAGATACAGAAACAGACCCCAAAATTACCAAAGGGTGCCCTTTAGTAAGATGAAAAGTAAGCCCAGAGAGAAGGCACAAGATGAAAGACAATGAGAGAAAACCTGATAAAATGTAGTAACATATTTAAATTACTATTAATTAGGAAACAA